AGCCTCTTACGGAGATCCTGGAGTCCCGGAATCCTAGGGTGGAAGGGACCTTAGAGGTCTTCTAGACTAGCCTCTTACAGAGATCATAGAGTCCCGGAATCCTAGGGGTGGAAGGGACCTTAGAGCTCCTCCCATAGGGGGAACCTCTGTGCCACTTCAGAGAAAGGGTCGCCCAGCCTCTTCTTAAAAGCACCCACAACTTCTGGGGAGAAGCTGTTCCACTGGACGAAAGGTTCCCAGAGTCAGGAAATTTCTCCGTAACCATCTCCGGTTATGTCTGTCCTGCCCTCTGGGGCCTTAGGGAATAAGCCCCCCCCCCCCCCGCTTCTTTGGGGCAGCCCCTCAAGTGCTGGAAGGCTGCTGCCATGGCCCCCCAATCCTCGCTTCTGCCCCCCCCTACAGTGACCCGAGGGGACGTCTTTCTCCAGCCAGAGGACGACTACCAGGATTACTACGACGTGGCCAATGCCACGGTGGGGCCCCCCTCCACCCCAGAGACCACCGGGACCCCCGTGGATGAGCAGGCCTGGACCGAGGATTATGCCTGGACAGAGGGGCTCCCGGGACACACGGAGGAAACTCCCTGGAGCCCCACCGACGCCCCTCCCCTGCCGGGACCGGAGGAGGGGGAGGAGAGCCTGTGCAGCGGGGAGCCCTTTGACGCCTTCACCAGCCTGAAGAATGGCTCCATCTTCGCTTTCCGAGGTAGCCCAGCCGGGGTGGGGGCACACGGGAGCTCCCCTCCCCCAGGGCTGGCTCCCCCCCCTTCCCTCTTGCAGCCCCCCCCCCCAGGAGCTGAGCCTCTTGGGAGGCCCTTGTTTGGGGGGCGCACTCTGCATTATGCCCCCCTGGAAGGAGAGGGGCTCCCAAGGCGTTCCCCCCCCCCCGCAAGCCCCCCCACGCCTTGTCCTTCACTGCTCTCACCTGGGGGGGTGGGGGCTGCTTCTGCGAGGTCAGGAGATGGGTGGGGGCTCAGCTGGCAGCGGAAGGCTCGGGGGGGGGGAGCGGGCTGGGGGTCGCGGTCTAAAAGAGAGACTCCCGGCGGGGAGGGGGGGCTGGGGGTCCCAAACGCCGCCTCACCCCGCCCCCGCCCGGCGCAGGCCTCTACCTGTACGAGCTGGACGAGAAGAGCGCCCGGCCGGGCTACCCCAAGCTGATCCGGGACGTGTGGGGCATCGACGGCCCCATCGACGCCGCCTTCACGCGCGTCAACTGCCAGGGCAAGACTTACCTCTTCCAGGTAGGCGGGCGGGGGCTCGGGCTGGGCTGGGGGGGGCTGTCGGGGCGGCCCTGGGTGCAGCTCCCCCCCCCCGACCCCAACCGCCCTCCGCCCTGCAGGGCAGCCGCTACTGGCGCTTCGACGAGGGCCGCCTGGACGCCGACTACCCCCGCAACATCTCCGAGGGCTTCGAGGGCGTTCCCGACGACCTGGACGCCGCCCTGGCCCTGCCCGCCGAGAACTACCTGGGCCGGGAGCGCGTCTACTTCTTCAAAGGTGCCCGGGGGGGGGGGGGGGGGGGGGCGGGGGGGGGGGGGGGGCTTCCGAGGGGCCGGGCCGCCCTGCTGACGCGCCCGGGGCTCTCTGGGCCTCAGGGAGCCGGTACTGGTCCTACGACTTCGCCCACCAGCCCAGCCGCGCCGAGTGCGAGCAGACGAGCCCCTCGCTGGTCTTCGACCACTACGCGGTGCTGCAGCACGACAGCTGGGAGGCGGCCTTCCGCCTGCTCTTCGGGGCCTCCGGGGCAGGTGAGCCGGGGACCGGGGAGGCCGGGCGGGGGCCGCCCTCGCTGCGCCGCCCCCGCCGGCCACTCAGCGCCCCCCCCCCCCGCCCGCAGGTCAGGCCAGCCGAGCGCGCTTCACCCCCCGCGACTGGCGCGGGCTGCCCTCCCGGCTGGACGCCGCCTTGCTGGGCAGGATCTACGTGGCGCAGAGCCCCGCCAGGTCGCCCACCGGCCGCCGGGCCTCCCGCCGCCGCCACCGCAAGAAGTACCAGCGCCGGCAGCGGTGGGGCCGCTGGGACTCGCTGCCCGGCTGGGAGCCGCTGCCCGGGGGCAGCTCGGAGTCCTCGGACCGCGACTGGCTGCTCCCCCCCTGCCAGCCCTTCCAGAGCGCCTATTTCTTCGTGGACGGTGAGACGCCCCCCCCCCCCCCCCCCCCCCCCCCTGGGGGGCCCCCCCCCCCCCCCGTTCCCCTGGGGGACTCATTGCCACGAGTTTCCCCGAAGCTGCCCCGGGGCCCCCAGTCCCGCGACTCTCCCCCCGCGTTGCAACCGGTGTGCTGGCCGGAGATAAAGAAAGGGGGGGGCATCCTTGGCCCCAGAAGCAGCAGCCCCCTCCCCCCCCCAAAAAAACCTATCGGTTCCTGGGCGTTTTGCCTCGCAGGGGCCCTAAACGATTTCCGGCCCGTCAACTCCCCAAATCCCTGCATTACGGGGGCCCCTTTGGGAATTCTGCCACCCTTGCCCACACAGGGGTGGGGAAAAGGGGGGCTGGGGCTCTTGGGGCTGACCCCCCCCCGTGACCTTTCTCTTCCAGACAAGTACTACCGGGTCAACCTGCACACGCGGCGGGTGGACTGGGCCTACCCCAGGTACCCCCGCCCCATCGCCAAATACTGGCTGGGCTGCCCCCCGGAGGACCTGCTGTGAGTCGGGGGGCCCCGGAGCCTCTGGACCTGCTGACCGGACCAATAAAGCCTCCCTTCCACCCCGCCAGTCTGTCCGCCTCTGTCTGCTTGGGCGGGGAGGGGGGGCTGGAGCCCCTTCGGGAATGGGGGGAGGGGGCTGGAGTGATAGCACGCCCCCTGAAGAGGGAGGGTCTGCAGGCCCCCAGCTGCACTCAGAGGGGGCCCCCCAGCCCCATCCCTCCTTGGGTGGCCAGGGGACCCCCCCACCCGCAAGGGGGCTGCTTTGCATCCGCAGAACGAGGCAGCGGGGGGGGGGGGCTGGCTGAGAAGCTGGGGAGGGGGGAGGAGAGGGCGGGAGCAGAGGTGAAGCAGCCACGCAGGGGAGGGCAGAGAGGGGGGCTCAGTGCGCAGCCCCCACCCCTGCCAGGGGGCCACAGAACGACCGTACCAGGCGGAGCTTGTAGCGGGTATGAGAAAGAGGGGGAGAAGGGCCCCCCCCACCTGTTCCCAGGCAGCCGGTGGGTCGCAGGGATCAAGGAGCCCCTCACCCCCCAACACAGGAGGACACAAATGGGGGGCAGCCCCCCCCCCTTCCAGCCCAGAGGGGGCTTGGAGCAGCTGTCCTACAGAGTCCCACACGCCAGTTTTGTCAGGGACTTTTTTATTGCACAGAACAGAGTCATCCACTGTCATCACAGGACACCAGGATTGGGGAGTTGGGGGGGAGACCCTGCCCAGCTGAGCAAGCAAGGCCCTTGCCCCCCCCCAAAAGCCCCCCATGTGGTCATCCGCTCTGAGGCAGCTCCTCCCCTTGCGACCGATGGGACCAGCAGCCCCAGCTGGGAAGCGGCTTTCCTGCCCTGCCCCCAGCACCCGAGGAGGAAGCCCTAGGCGGTTGGGGTGGGGTGGGGAGACCCCTCGATGCAGACGGTGGGTGGGGCCCCGCCTGGCGTAGAAGCAGGGCTGGGGGGGGCAGAGCTGCGTCTCTGTCCAGGCTGGGCGGAGGGCTCCGTCCTCCTGAGGGGCCCCTCGGGGGTCTGTGGAAGGCTGCCGGGGGTCCGGGTGCCCCCTCCCCGGAGCGAGGGGGGTCCGGAGGAGCCAAAGGAAGCGGCCGCAGGGCCTCCTGGGCGCCTGGCCCTGCCCTACAGCTGCCCCAGCTCCCCTTCCATGGCCTGCACCATCATGTACAGCTCCGCCAGGCCCACCACGGAGGCCGCGATCACAGCTGCGATCACCCGCTGGAAGGAAGAACGGGGAGGGGGGCCGTTCTGCCCCTTGAGACCCCCCCCCCGCCAGGCGCCCCCCCCCCCCCGCGCCCCCCCCCCCCCCGGTGCTGGTAGCAAAAGGCCCCCCAGCCGCCCTCACCAGAGCCGCCTTTCAGCTCAGCACCTTGAACCAGCTGATGTGGGAGCCCAGGAAACCAGGTTAATAGCGTAAACCATGGCCACGTTGAGCCAAGGCAGGGAGTCCTCGACTTACAACAGGCCGTTTACTGACCGCAGTTACAACGGCACTGGGGAAAAGGGGGACACGTGACTGTTTTTCAGCCTTACATCGGATGCGGCCTCCCCAGGGCCCAAATCCAGATGTTTGGCCTGTATTGATGACGCCTGCCGTGACCCAGGACCACAGGATCCCCTTTTGCAACTGTCCGACAAGCCGAGTCAATGGGACTCCCTTAACGACGGTGGCAAGAGAGGTTGCAAAATGGGGCAAAGCTCCTGTGACAACAGAACATCTCGGGCTCCCCTGTGGCCGTAAGTCGAGGACCCCATTGTGGCAGGGGAGTGGGGGGGGGGCTCCCTGCAAGGACTTCCTGCCGGGCCCCTCCAAGGGGGCTCCCAGGGCCCCTCCGGGGGTTGCTCACCGCTGCCACCTCGGCGAAGATGTACTGGCTGCCCAGGAACGCGCAGGCGAAGGCGGCTCCCACCGTGACGAGGAAGTTGAGGAGGGTGACCGTCACCGCCTTGGCTGACCTGACTGGGAGGGCCGAGGGGGGGAAGAGACAGGCGCTCAGAGGCCCAGGCGCTGGGCTGGTTCCTCTCTCCGCAGGCCTGCTGGTGGCCGGCCAGGGGCCCTCCAGAGGATGCTGAACTACGACTCCCAGCATCCCTGCCCTGCGCAAGGGGCGCTGGGACTTGTAGTTCAGCGCGCACACACATACACCCCGGGGCAGCCCAGCCGCCCAGCCCTGCCCCTGGCTGCTGCTCACGGCATTGTCCAGCCCCTCCGGGCCCCATTGAGGCCTCGAGCCTTGGCCCTGGAAGGCCCCAAGGGGCTCCCCGATCCTCCCCCAAAAGTTGCCGAAGGAGAGGGCGGCCAGCAGTCATTTATTTGTAAAATGCATTGGCCGCTATCTTGTCCCAGGGTAAACGGGGGGGGGGGGGGGGGAGGCTCCCAGCACGACCTGAAAAGGACAAAAGCTTCTCTAGAGAAACCTGGGAGAGACGAATAGAAGATGCGGGCAGGGAGGGAGACGGTTAATCTACCAACCACCCCCAATGGGAAGCCCCTCTCCCCCCCCCAGTTGGAGCCCCAGGCCATGTGGCAGAGCGGGGGGGGGGTCTTTAAGCCAATCCAGAAGGCCGGGAGGGTCGGGGCCGGCAGCCCCCCCTCCGTGTTCCAGGGTCTCCCCAAAGGACGGGATCTGCCCCCTCCTGCCCAACGGCCTGCCTGCCCGCCTTCCGAGCCCCCCACTCACCTTGCCTCCCGAGATCAGCCAGGGCGCCCTGGGGGTTCAGCTCCTGGGAGGGGGAAGGAGAAGAGCCCCGTCAGCTGGAGCCCCCCAGGCAGACCCCAGGGACCAGGGCCCGTCCAGGTGGGGGGGGGAGAAGGGGCCGCCCTCCCTCCCTCCCTCCGTGACAGGAGCCTGGCTTGGAAGGCAAAGCCTTGGCTGGGCGGTTCCATCACGGCCCCTGTGGGCTCTCCTCTTCTTCCTCCTCCAGGCCAGGCTCCCTTCTCCATTCTGCAGCCCTTGATGAGGGGCTGCCATGAGTTTGTGGGGTCACTGCATGCCCTGATGATGTTGCCTAGCTGGGTAATAAAACGTCTGGCAGAAATGGGTGTCGTGAGCTGCTCAAACGCAGATGTTTTGCTTGGGGTCTGCAGAGAAGTCAGGGAAATAACACTGGTGGTCCCAAAAGTGCTTTTTCAAGAGGCAACTGGACTTTCTGGGTTTTTCTCTGAAGACGCTTCACTTCTCATCCAAGAAGTTTCCTCCGTTCTGATGGATGGCAGGAATGGAATGAATGAATGAATGAATGAATGATTTATTGGCCAAGTGTGATTAGACACACAAGGAATTTGTCTGGTGCAAATGCTCTCAGTGCACATAAAAAGAAAAGATTCATTCGTCAAGGGTCAAGAATCATCAGGTTCAACGCTTAATGATAGTCAGAGGGTACAATAAGCCATCAAATCATACTAGGAAACAGTCCATATAAATCGTAAGGATACAAGCGACCAAGTTACAGTCCTACAGTCCCAAGTGGGAGGGGATGGGCGATAAGGAGGGATGAGAAGATTAATAGTGATAGTAGTGCAGACTTCCTAATAGCTGGACAGTGTTGAGGGAATTTGTTTAGCAGAGTGAAGGCATTTGGGAAAAACTGTCCTTGTATCTAGTTGTTCTGGTGTGCAGGGCTCTATAGTGTCATTTTGTGGATAGGAGTTGAAACAGTTTATGTCCGGGATGTGAGGGGTCCGTAAATATTTTCACAGCCCTCTTATTGATTCCATGCAGTATACAGCTCCTCCATGGAAAGCAGGTTGGTAGCCATTGTTTTTTCTGCAGTCCTAATTATCCTCTGGAGTCTCTGTCTGTCCTGTTGGGTTGCAGAACCAAACCAGTGATAGAGGTGCAGTTGACAGACTCCATCATTCCTCTGTAGAACTGGATCAGCAGCTCCTTTGGGGCAGTTTCAGCTTTCTGAGTCGGTGCAGAAAGAACATTCTCTGTTGGGCTTTTTTGATGACGTTTTTGATGTTAGGTGTCCATTTTAGGTCTTGTGATATAGTAGAACCTAGAAATGTGAAGATCTCTACTGTTGATACGGTGTTGTCTCGTATTGTAAGAGGTGGTAGTAAAGGAAGGTTTCTTCTAAAGTCTACCACCATTTCTACGGTTTTGAGTGTGTTCAGTTCCAGATTGTTCTGGCTGCACCACCAGTGCAAGTTGTACAACCTCCGGTCTGTATGTGGATTCATGGTTGTCTCGAATGAGACCAGTCACTGTTGTGTCATCAGCAAACTTCAGAAGTTTAACAGATGGATCATTTGAGAGGAAGAAATGGAGAAAGCACACAGCCTTGGGGGGGCGGCCTGTGCTGATTGTACAGGTATCAGATGTGATTCTGCGTAGCTTCACCTGATGCTTCCTGTCTGTTGGGAAGCTTATGATCCATTTACAAGTTTGTTCAGGTACCGCTAGCTGGTTTAGTTTAGTTAGAAGAATGTCTGGAATGATGGTGTTGAATGCTGAATTGAAGCCTACAAAGAGGACCCTTGCGTAGGTATTTGGAGAGTCAAGGTGTTGTCGGATGTAATGCAGAGCCATATTAACAGCATCATCGGTCGATCTATTTGCTTGGGATGCAAACTGCATGGGATCTAACAGCGGATCCGTGATGGTTTTCAGGTGGGGCAGCACAAGCCTTTCGAAGGTTTTCATAACTACAGAGGTTAGAGCAACTGGTCTGTTGTCATTCAGTCCCCTGAGGGAGGGCTTCTTTGGCACTGGGATGAAGCAGGAAGCAGGAAGGAACACAGCACATCTCTAGGGATCTATTGAAGATTCGGGTGAAGATGGGGGCCAATTGGTCAGCACAGACTTTTAAGCAAGAAGGAGTTATCTTGCCTGGCCCTGGTGCTTTTCCTGGCTTCTGTCTGTGAAATAGATTTTGCACTTCTTTTTCTGTGATCACCAGGGGTTGTGAACCCAACGGGTTGGGGCCAGTTGTGGGAGGTTTGATGGCTGTTGTTGGTGTGTTTGAGATGTGGGTTGTGGAGATAGGTGGCTGTAGTTTCCTTTCAAACCTGCAGTAAAACACATTCAGGTCATCTGCTAGTTGTTGATTTCCTGGTATCTCTCACCCCTCTGTGGAGGCTGTTCCATTTTGACACAGATGGCCTCTTGAGGCCCTCTTTCAAACCAGTGGCCCTTTCCGTCCAAAATATGGACTTTGCGGTCTTCAAGAGAGGGTCGTTTGTCTTTTCAAAGCAGGTGGACTTCAGAACCTAGCCCTGATGGGCCGGTTCTCTTAGGTTGTGCCATGTGCTTGTGAAGTGGCTGCGTTGTTTCCCCAGCGGACAGATCTGCACAGGATTCACTGCACTGCACTGTATAAACCACATGGCTCCGTTTCCGTCTGGGTGTTGTTATCCTTGGGGTGGACCAGCTTTGGCCTTAGTGTATTCTTGGCTATGTTGTGTTGGCTGATGATCCTCCTGAACTTCCATTCCCCACCATTCCAGTCAGAGTTGAAGAAGCTTCTTGGATGAGAAGCGAAATGTATTTTTTTAAAAAAAACCCAGAAAAGTCCAGTTGCCTCTTGAAAAAAAGGTTGACCTTTGGGATAACCTGGATGACTGAAGAATCTCCCTAGATATTGATTTTCTTGGGTTTTTTCCTTGAACAGAAGTTTCTTGGATGAGAAGCTAAAAACCAAGAGAGCCCAGTTGTCATTTGAAAAGCACTTTTGAGTTTGCTGCCTTGAGTTACTTATAAAAAAGCCGGGATAAAAATCGAATAAATAACTGAATAGGTGTAGCTCTGCACGTCCCCCTGACCTGGCAGTTGATGTTCCTTGTCATCTGTTTGTATTCCTCATTTGCCAACCGGGCTTTGATCTTCTCCAGCCGGGCCACCAATTCTGGGTTCTGAAACAGAAAGACCAACACAAACGGATTGCAGAAATAAACACACATTTCACAAAAAAGGTTGCAGTCTATTGTCTCCTCTTAACAGAACAGAGCTGCAAGGCACCTGGGAGGTTGTTAGGAATGTAAGTGACCTAACTTTCCTCATTGGATGAAAGTTATGATGATTACTGGAAGTCCTGCCCAGAGATAAACTGACATTGACTGACATAACCGGAAGATTGTTAGAAGAAGCAAGAAGACGGCTGTATAGGGACCAACTGAGGAAGGAACAACCACAAGAAGAGGATTTGTCTTCAACTGCCTATACTGTTAGGAAATGTTTTTCTTGTGGGGCTAGGGGATATATAGCTCGATTCTGTAAGAAGGGAAAACAACGGAATACTGGTAATCACCAGAAGGCTAAGAAGAATGTTAGTTTAGCTATGTCTAGAGATTCAACTGTAAACCATGATTTGTGGGTTGTTGATAGTGGAGCATCACAGTGCATTACTAGAAATAGAGGTTTGTAAAGATGACTACAAGTAAACAACATGTATCATTGGCAAATGGGTGGAAGATGAAAGCATCTGGTGAAGGTACTGTCTATTGTTCTTGTGTAAATGAGCATTTAACTATGTTATATGTACCTAAACTGAAATTTAAATTGTTCTCAGCAAGGGCTTTAGTGAATCTTAGTTATGTAATAACCTTTAGGGGAGATAACTGCATAATAGAGAAAGAAGGTAAAAGTGTTACTGCTACTTTAGAGAATGATTTATATGTGATATATGATGACCAGTTGCAGATGGCTAACTCGGTTTATAACAATGTTAAGCCACGTGATGAATGTATACATTTACTACATAGACGTCTGGGGCACATTAATTTCAAAATGTTGAAACAAACTGTTGAATGTCAGAGGGAGTAAAATTGAAACCCTGTAGCAGGTACTTAAACTGTAATGGTTGTATAGTCAGGAGAAAAGCAAGGGTATTCCAGCAAACAGACTAAATGGGTTTAAGACCAAAGAACCTTTAGAGGTTGTGTTTGCTGACATAATTGATCCTAAGAAACCCAGTTTGGGAAGTGCCTGCTATGCTTTGATTATAATGGACCATTACTCACGGTACGGTTTCTGCTATCTCATGAAAAACAAAACAGAAACATTCCAACGTTTCTTTAACTGGCTAAGATTTGCTGAGAGAAAAATGAGGAGTAATTACTTTAGTTACTGATAACGGGACTGAGTTTGTTAACAAGAGATTCTAAACTATGTTGAAATTGGCTGGTGTCCAGCATAAACATTCTGCATTTTACTATACAGTGTATCTGTGTGCTAGTGGTGTGTTATTCTTCACTACTCTCAATACATCTCCCTGTGTGCACTCATTCTCCTAATGGGGAATTACCTCAACAGAGGTCTTCTAGTCCAACCACCTACTCAAGAAGGAGGCCCTACTAAAGATTTTAAAACAGAAGGTTTCTATGATAAACTGACTGATTTAGATATGATTTTGACAGGTACTGATGAAAAGGTGATTAAAAAATTGTATGGATATTTATTAGAAATTATACAAGAAGAAGAACAAGTTAAAGAAACTATGATTGCTTGGGGGAAGAATTTTGGATATGGGATTGATCTAGAGAAACGGCAAAAATTGTGGTCTCAAAATTATAAAATGACAATGTCAACAGCATATAAAGAAAATTTGTATAAGATGTTTTACAGGTGGCATTTTCCCCCAACAAGTATAGCAAGAATGTTCAAGAATAAATCTAAAAAATGTTGGAAATGTCATCAGACACCTGGCTCATATTACCATATGTGGTGGACTTGTGCGGATGCTAAAAAATACTGGACTAAAATCCACACGTGGTTGGAAAAAATGACAAAAAAGCATATAGACTTGAAACCAGAGATATTTTTATTGGGAATTTTACCTGAAATATAAAGATTTGAAATACCTGATTGTAAATGTATTAACAGCGGCTAGGATTGTATTTGCTAAAAACTGGAAAAATGAGAAAATACCATCACAGGAGGAAATTATTAAGAAAATATTGGAATGTGCTGAAATGAGCAGATTGACATTTGAAATTAGAGAAAAGGATGATAAATAATTTTATAAAGTTTGAGATCTATATCAATGGTTAGACAATAAAGTATAGTAATGAAATATGTAGACTTTTAGAAAATACTGAATATATAAAGATGTATTCTTTTCTTATTATATCTACAAAATGTTTTTAGGATAGATTTGGGATGATAATATGAATTGTCACAAAACAAATTAAGTAAAATATGATTATTTTACTACGAAATGGAAGCACCAAACAATTTGTAAACCAACCGGCACACTGTATGTACATATATGGATGATGGCCTGATGTTTTTACGTTTTGTTTGTCTATGTTTGTTTTAAAAACCAATAAAAAAATTTTTTTTTAAAAAAAGGAGGCCCTACTACCATTGGTGTCCAACCTTGGAAGTTTAAGACTTGTGGACTTCAACTCCCAGAAGTCCACAGGTCTTAAAGTTGCCCCGGTTGGAGACCCCTGGTCTAAAGGCACAGAAACTGCAAAGAAGCCTGGGGTGGTCCCGTGTTGCGTCCCCCACCCCTACTCGTGAGGAGCCTGATTATTTTTCTCTCTTTTTGGAAATTTAAAAAAATAATAAATGCAGGTAGTCCTCAACTTATGACCAGAATTGAACCCAATATTTATGTTGCTAAGTGAGGCTTTTAAATGAACTTCGCCCCATTTTACGACCTTGCCACAGTTCTTAAATGAATCACTGCAGCTGCTAAGTTAATGACGCAGTTGTGAAGGGAATCCGGCCTCCCGTATGGCCTTGGCTGGTCAGTAGGCCGCAAAAGGGGATCACATGAGCCCTGGGACACGGCAACCGTCATAAATATGAGCTATGGTGACCCAGTGGTTAGAGTGCAGTACTGCAGGCTCCTTCTGCTGACTGCAGGTCGTCTGCAATTTGGCAGTTTGAATCCCACCAGGCTCGAGGTTGACTCAGCCGTCCCTCTTTCCGAGGTGGGTCAAATGAGGACCCAGAGGGTTGGGGGCAAAAGGCTGACTCTGTAAACGGCTGAGAGAGGGCTGGGAAGTCCTGGGAAGCGGTATATAAGTCTAAGTCCTATTGCTATCGCGAGCTTGAATGTTTATCACGTGACCACGGGTATGTTGCAATGCTCATAAGGATGAGAAACGGCCATAAGTCACTTTTTTCACTGCTGTTGTAATTTGGAATGGTCCCTAAATGGACTGTTGTAAGTCAAGGACTACTCATGCCCGATACGTACCCTGGGTGCTTTTGTCACTTCAGGAAGAAAGATCTCGCTGCCTTCCAACAGTTCATGAAGATACACCGGAGAACCTGAGAGCGAGAGACAAAGCAAAGTCCAAGGTTTCCACCGGACATTCCGGCCCTGAAGGGTGCAGGGCAGGCAGCAGAGCAGAATGGAGCCGCTCTTCTCAGACCAGTGCAGAGGGCAGCCTTGCACGTTAATCCCCAAGCAAAGCCTGAACCTGGCATTACACAAATGATTGCAAAAAAAACCCCTGTGATCGGAGAGGGACCGGCAAGCGTCGCCATTTAAAAAACAGGCCTTTGACATTACAAGTCACCCCCAAAATGTCATGCTTCCATAGGACAGCCATGGCCTTTCTCAACAGCAAAGCTGTTAGTTACAGTTCATTTTTTCAAAGTATCAGAGCTGCTTTCCTTAGATTAATCCCGGCGCCATCATTTATTTCTTAGAATGCAGCCAATCTGAATCACTGGGCGCACAAGCGCAGCAAAATGCAGCACAGGCCACCTGGAAAACAACATTCTGACACCCAAGGAGTCCTTTACTACCTTGAGATCACTGCAGAGAAGGGCCAGGGCCTGGCTTCTGCCCGACAATTTGGGTTAAGTCCTGGAAACAACCACATCTTAGAAAGCAAATCAATATCAGCCTAGAATTCTTAACGGTACAACAACAGGGTGAATCATACAGCACGTTATAGAATCTTGTAGGGCAGGAAAATAATTCTATTGGTTCTAATTTGCAGGGAAGAATGAAACCCAGGCTTCTCTCTCAGGGAGTTACTTAAAGCACACGTGTCAATCTCCTACAGAGCTGTAACGTAAAATCAATGTTTTTGAGTTTGTGGGCATTTGATCCTTTGGAGTCAGATTTCGGACAACGTCCTGGACAAATCTTTGTAGAATTCCTTGGCAACATCCCCCTCCCAAAGGATTTGGCAATGACTGCTTTCTAGAACTCTCTCTCTCTCTCTCTCTCTCTCTGTGCGTGCGTGCGTGCGTGCGTGCGTGTGTGTGTGTGTGTGTGTGTGTGTGTGTGTGTCTGGCTCAAGGTCACCCAGCTGGCTCCTTACCCAAGGCAGCCATCCCGGTTTCCAGTCTGGTGCCTTTGCAACATTCCCAAGCGGCTCTCACACCTCTTGAGATGAAGGTTGGTATTTTTCAGGGGCTCCTTCCTCCTAAGCGAGGTTTCCCATTAGAGTGTGTTGGAAGTGACCCCCCCCTCCTTTGTCTCTGGGACATGGGGTGGGGGGGAGATAAGACATCTTCCCAGTTGCAAAATTGATACCAGCCCTTTGAGGTAGGCCAGATCAGGAATCCTAAAAACACTGTCCTGGACCTACGACCATTCGTTTAGTGACCTTTTGAAGTTGCAACGGCTCTGAAAAAAGTTGCTTTATGGCCGTTTTTCAGTGACGACGACAGCACATCCTCAGGGTCCTGTGGTCAAAATTCAGACGCTTGGCCACTGACTCGAGTTTATGACGGTTGCAGCATCCTGGGGAGGTCATGTGATCCTCTTTTGGGACCTTCTGACAAAGTCATTGGGGGAAGCCAGATTCACTTAGCAACCTTGTTACTCGCTTAACAACTGTTCAGAATAACAGAACCACAGAGTTGGAAGGGACCCTGAAGGGCATCTAGTCCAATCCCCTGCTCAAGCAGGAGACCCCATGCGATTTCAGACAAGTGGATGCCTGCAGTTTCAACTGCAGTGGTTCCCCTAATCCCTCTGGCAAGGAAGGTCATAGAATGGGGGCAAGACTCGCTTAACGGCCGCCTTGCTTAGCAAGGGAGGTCTGGGGCTCAATTGCGGCCGTAAGTCGAGGACTCCTTGTCTTATGGGACCACGGGGAGCAATCCGAGCGCGCCTCGCTACCTTTGCCCTACGAAGGACCAGGGAGCCCTCCCGTGGCTGGGCCTGGCTGGGGGCGGCGGGAGCTGAAGCCCCCGGGGCGGAAGGAGAGACTCACCGGCCGCCGATGCGCCCTCCTCCCGCAGGGCCCGCTGGAGCTCCCGGAGGAGCGCGAAAGGCAGGCTGCCCTCGGCCAGGGCCGCCGCGAGCTCCGCCCTCAGCGCTTCGGGGACGCCGCTCGCCGCTGGGCTCGATAAGAACCGGCGGAACGGCTCCCCGGCCTTGAGAGACGACGCCATTTTGAGACGGTCACATGACCGGTGGGACTTCCAGCCGGGAGGCGGCGTTGCCGGGGAGACGGGGCAGTAGAAGAGGGGGACGCCTCATCACCCAGAAGCAGCTTCCGGGTCCCTTCTGGCCCCATCATCTCGCCTTCCCTTCCAGCGCCCTCTAGAGACGTCGGCCGGGAAGACGAGCGCGGGCGGCTATGCAGGGAGATATCCGAGCTATCTTAAGCTGCGAACCCGGAAGCTGCCTCTCCGTCGCGGAGCGCGCTCCTCTGCTTCTTCTTTCTCCTTCTCCCCGTCCTCCCACGGCGCGCGCGAAAGGCCAAACCGCTGCGCGGAAGGACCGCGCGGGGCATTGTGGGTCGCGGCGGGCCCTGAGAGACGCCTCTTCGCTCGGGCCGCGGAATGGCGGCGGCGGCGGCGGCGGCGGCGGCGACGAGTCGGTGCTGGGCGGCGCTGGGCCGGGCGCGGGCCTCCTCTTCCTGCCTGCGCTGGGGGCTGCGGGCCCCGGCCTGGGCGGCTCTCGGGGCGAGGCCGGAGCTGCTGCTGCTGCCCCCGCGGCGCTGCCTCTCCTCCCGGTGGGTCGCCTGCGGACGGGGCGGGGCGGGGACGCCGCTCGACCTCAAAGGCCCTGGGGCTCGTTCGGCCTGCGGGGCGCGAGGGCTTTTCCCGGAGGGACCCTGAAGGTCACCTAGCCGAGCCCCTCCGTCCCCGGCGGAAGCCCAGGCTCTTCCGAGCGGCGGGCGCAGGGTGGCCCCGAGGACGGAGTTCTGGGTTCCTCGGCTGTTGGCAGCGGGGGAGGCGCCTGGACGCCCCCCACCCTCTCGCCCGGGCTACTCCGGACGCCCCTTGCACGGAGCATGCGCGTGGGGAGGGGGCTGACCCGGGTCGGTCGGCTTCATATTGTGGGCAGCCTCGCCCGGGTCGTCCCCCGCATCCCCTCCCTCCCCCCTCGCTGCCTGCGATGTCGGGGGTGGGCGCAGAGGAGGGGGGGTCTTTCCGGCGTCTCTATGTAGGACCCCCCCAAAGAATCTAGGAGTAGATGCTACCAGGTAGTCCTCAACTTACGATCACTGTTGAGCCCCAAATTTCCGCTGCTAAGCAAGACGGCATTCAAGTGAATTTTGCCCCCTTGTGCGAGCTTCTTTGCCGCGGCTGTTAAGTGAATCCCTGAGTCAGGAACAGGGTGGATAAGTGAGTCCGCTTCCCCACCGACTTTGCCGCGTCAGAAGGGGGTCGCGTGACCCTGGGATTCCACAACCGTCATAAATACGAGTCAGTGGCCAAGCGCCTGAATCCTGATCACATGACCACAGGGATGCTGCAACGGTCGTTAAGCGTGAAAAACGGTCCTAAGTCCCTTTTCTCCGTTGTGGCTTCGAATGGTCCCTAAATGAGGTGTTGTAAGTGGAGGACTACCTGTATAGGCAAAGGCAGGTAGGGCTGGAGGTTAAGGCATCAGCTAGAAACCGAGAGGGGGGGGGGAAGCTCTTGTCCAGCCAGCCGGGTGACCTTGGGCCAGCCACACACACCCCTCAGCCCAAGGAAGCAGGCAGGGCCGAACGGCCGGGAGCATTGAAACCCGGTTCAAGTTTGCTAAACCTGGTTAAGGCGAAGGAGGCAGGCAGGCAGGCCACACACAGGATGGGTTGCAAGTGCCGTGTTGCTGATTCCTGGCTTATCTCCTGATCTGCAAAAGCTGTGGGTGACCCTCTTAAATCAGGGGGTCTCCAACCTTGGCCACTTTAAGACTTGTGGACTTCAACTCCCAGAGTTCCTCAGCCAGCTTCGTCCCGGAAGTTTCCCCGAGCCACTGAGATGCCAAAGAGAGCGAGACTCCAGACGAGGCTTGCCCAAAATAGCAGCTGTTTATTTTGGCCCAAGCAAAAAGTCTGGGTGAATACAGACAAAACGCATGTAAGGAATAGCCACACCTTGTCTAGGATCTTACACATTGGTTTAGCCCAGGGGTCTCCAAACCTGGCAGCTTTAAGACATGTGGACTTCAACTCCCAGAATTCCTGAGCTAGCATGACGGGAGGAGGAGGAACTCTGGGAGGTCTACAAGTCTTCCAGCTGCCAAGTTGGAAGACCCCTGGTTTACCCAATGAGAGATAAAAGTTGGTTATCCAGTGTGGGCGAGGTCTTGCCCCAGGTCCTCCCCTGTTCTTTGTCCCTGCTCTGCCCATGCTTTGTTATCTTACAGGTATCCCTCGTCCTTGTGTGTTTGTGTTCCTAAGCAGCCCCCCCACCCCTCCACATCTGTGGAGCAGGACGTTCCTGGGAACCGTCTCCCAGGATGTGCCTAGCTCTGAAGCAAATTGCAGAAGCCAGAAACCAGACAGAATTCCTAACAAAGGATTCCTAACCCTAGCGAAATAGTACAAGCACCTTCTTTAACAGAAGCAAAGAGCAAAGGTGCTGGCTGAGGAACTCTGGGAGTTCAAGTCTGCAAGTCGCCAAGGTTGGGGACCCCCTGCCCTGAGTTATTCCTGTCCGGGTCCAGCCAGGGCCACTCCCTGCACGTCTTCTACACTTGTGGTCGTTGAGAGCGTTGTGGTTAACCCTGAGCACGTGGTGGTGCTCTTTTACCGCCTCTCCCGCCGTGGCCTCCTGGCGTTCCCATGGCCAGAGGGAGCTTAGCTGGCGGGGACCGAAGGGGGACCCTGGGCCTGGAAGGGCCTCTGGGACGCTGCTGTTGCTCGGATTGTCCTTTGGGGCCCTGCCAGGAGGTCTTAACGCCACACTTTCCTTTCCCCAAACCCCAGGAATCGCCCCGAGGGCAAAGTCTTGGAGACAGTCGGGGTCTTCGAAGTGCCAAAGCAGCATGGCAAATATGAGACGGGACAGGTGAGTGAGTCAGGTGGATGGGAGGGCTTCACCCCTGTCCATAATGGGGAGCAACATCCCCCCCCCCCCCCCCCCCCCCCAGGCAGAGGTGCCATTCCCTGGTCAGGTAATGAAATGTCTGGAAGAAATCCACCTGGCTCAGAGAGCATCAATCGTTGTCATCACCTTCTTCCTCCTCCTTCCCCCCTTTCGCTTAGCACCAAGGATGTTTCTTCAGTCATGAAACCTCTGAAAAAAAGAAAGGAAGAAACTTCAGGGGGCATCAAAGACCCCACAGTCATCCTCCTCTTCCTCTTCCTCTCCACAAACCCCACTGTCTTCTAGCACTGATGATGTTACCTAGTTGGCCCTTGAAATGTCATCGAGAAAGCCACTAACCTCATAGAATACCATGGACCCCACAGTCATTGCTCTCCTCTCTCTCTCTCTCTCTCTCTCTCTCTCTCTCTCTTTCTGATATTTTTCTTGGTCTCCAGGATCTCTGAACTGGGTCCAAGCAGAAGCTTCGGCAGTATTTTTCTTCCCACATTTGTTCATTGCAATTGCGGCGAATACCTGTGGCCCAGGTGTAGGATAAGGGTGAAGGTTCGTTCTCCAAGCTCGTGGGTTGGTTTCCAAACATTTCGTTAGCAGGCCAGGTAGCATCTTCAGCGGAGTTTAGGGGATGATCCCACCCCACGAGCTCAGAGAAGGAACCATCACCTTCGCCTTTCTTCACTCCCTGGTTAGCCCCTTAAAGAAGGGTCCCCTCCGGGCAGTTTGTATCACACGGTGCGAGCCAGTTGGGTCTAGTGCCGTGGTTCACAAAGTGGGCGGTGGGATGCCTTGGGGGGGTGGTAAGAAGCAAGGGGGGCGCTGGAGGTGGGCCCCTCGCAGGGCACAATTCAGGGTGGAGATTTTACCAGTTCGCAAGAACTGTTGTTACCGTTCCAGTAGGTTGAAGAACTGGCAAAAAGGGGCCCTGGCTGGCCCTGCCCCCTCCTCCATTTTCTGCTGTCAGTCCTTATTGCGCATGCATGAATTGCACGCAACAATCGACGGCATTGCCCCCCCCCCCCCCCCCGTCCCCCCCTATGTTGAGCCTGTGCGCTCGTTTCCCCTTTTCCCGCCCGCCATCTCTACCAGCGCCCGCCCGCCAGCCCCCGCCCGCCCGGCCTTCCTGCCGCCACCTGATCTAGGTGAGTTACACTCCGCAAGCCCACTGCAGCTTCCCTCCACACTTCCCCGACGTGCCTGCCTCGAACGCAGCGCGGGCGGGAGTGGAGGAAGGAACCAGAGTGGGTTTGCTCTCCCTTTCAAACGTCCCACCGCAGCTGCATTCGAGGCGAGGCCCCGCCGGCTCACCCCCTTGAGCCCCTTGCAGCGGAGCCTGCAGCAGTCAGTGGGGTGAACCTGAGAGAGAGAACGAGAGAGAAAGAAAATAAAGAGAAAAGGGGCAGAAAGAAAATGGGACAGACGAAGAAAGGGGGGCGGGGGATGGAAGGAAGGGACAAAAAGAAAAAGAAATAAAGAAGGAGGGAGGAGAAAGATAATGAGATATCTATCCTAGTCCCATCACCTGCTCCGGCAGGGTTAGAAGGGAGTGTGTGTGTGTCTGTGTGTCTGTGTGTGTGCGTGTTCTCCTTGTAATTTACCAGGACGTTTTGGTTTTGCCTTCTTCAGAACTGGCACCGTCATAACATTGGGGAAAAGTAATTTTTTATGATGGAAGTCTGCTCCAACGGATCCTGTTTAAGCCTCAACAAAATGTGAGAGCTTCCTGGTAGTCTTGGCCCTGTTTCCTCCGCAAAGCCTTTAATTACTGTAATAGAAGCCAGAGATGTTTCAATGTGCTGGCAAAGATGCTGGCAAAGATGTTTCAATGTGGGAAAAGGGGCCTCTAAACTCGGCCTCGTTTCAATCCGATGCGTCAGTCTCTCTCTCTCTCTCTCTCCCTCCCCCGCTCTTTCACGGTCCCTTTTCTTTCTTTTCCTTTTCTTCCTTCTTTCTCTTCTCTCTGTCTCTGTCTCTCTCTCTCCCCCCTCCCTCCCCCACTCTTTCACGGTCCCTTTTCTTTTCCTTTCCTTCCTTCTTTCTTTTCTCTCTCTCTCTTTCCTTCTCTCAGGCTCACCCCATTGATTTGGTGCACCACTCCGCTCGGACATAAAACAAATGGACAAGAATCGGCAACAGATCTCTGATTAGATCTTATTCACTGCTAGAATCCAATCAGAGATGCTTTGCCGATTCTAGTCCAGCGACCTGCTCCGGCAGGGTTAGAAGGGAGTGTGTGTGTGTGTGTGTGTGTGTGTGTGGCTGTCAAAACTCCAAAAACAGGTCAAGTAGCTCTGGGGAGGCCAGTCATAAATTAAAACACTTGCTAAGCAACCAGCCATTAAGGGAGGATCACTTGTATTTGGTTTGCCAGTCACCAAACCATGCCCACCCCAGTCACGTGACCAGCAGGCCGTGCCCTCAAATTAGGCCACGCCCACAGACATTTGAATCCCGCCCCTGGGTGGGGGGCCCTGAGGATGAGTTTGTAGCCCCAAGGGGGCGCTGGACTGAAAAGGTTTGGGAACCACTGGCCTCGTGGTTAAAAGGCTGACTTGGAGACCAGGAGATGGTGAGTTCTAGTCCTGCCTTAGGCATAAAAGCCGACTGGATGACTTTGGGCCACTCCCTCCCTCCCTCTCTCAGCCCAACCCACCTCACAGGACTGTTGTAATGGGGAAAACAGGAGGAAGGAGCATTGGGCATGTTTGCCACCTTGAGTTATTTATAAAAGTAAGAAACGTAGGAGATCGATAAATACGTTTTGTAAGCCGTTCCTTGCTTGGTGGTCTGGCGCTGCGTAGACAGTAGAAATAATCAATTTTGTCGTATGCATGATACACAACGACAGTAAAGGCTATTATTATTGTTACTGTTATTATTATCATCATCATCGTCATCGTCACGCGGCCTCCTGGCAACCAGGAAGTGAAGAGGTCGCAGCCGTGGGATTTAAGGCTTGGGCGGCTTAAAGCCCCTAGAATGGATCTGGGAGGATTGTCTGGAAAGCGAAAGGGTTTCAGGGCCTTCCCTTCCTCGGGCCGCTTTGAATTGGGAGCGGCTGGTCACAAGCCGGGATTCCGATCGGCTGCATGGGGCGACATGTCAGCGGACCGGAAGGGAGCCCTGGACCTTTCTGGGCCTCCCCTGCCCCCTGGGAGACCCCGCAAGTAACCGTGAGCCCCCTCACACCCGGAGGTCCCCCCTCCCAGCACCTGCTCCAGAGAGGGGCGCTTCCCTCCCCCCCCCGTGATCTGAGCCCGCTGCCTCTTTGTCTCGCCTGTCTTGACGGCCTCCTCTGCCCCCTTCTCTTCCAGCTCTTCCTCCACAGTATATTCGGATACCGGGGGATTGTCCTCTTCCCTTGGCAAGCCAGGTTGTACGACCGAGACGTCGCTTCTCCTGTGCCGGAAAAGTAAGTGTGGGCCGTGTAGGTGCTGGCAGGGACCTGGAGAAGCCTCCACGTCCCTCATGGTGACCGGCAGCAAAGGGTCTCAGGGCAGGGAGGGAGGGAGGGAGGCTGCAGAGATGAAGACAAGTTTCCTTTATTGTCCTTGCACCTCGTACAACGAAATCACACACCACCTTCAGGGCACACCATGACCATGAAAATAAACACAAACACACACCCTTCACACTCCACACATTGAATCAGGAAAAACCCTGATATTGCATTCATACTGCACTATACAGCAGAATTCAACAGAGCTCCTGCCCTGGGATGGAAGCTGTTTTTCAGCCCATTTGTCCTTGTTTTTATTCTCCTGTATCGTCTGCCAGATGGTAATAGTTCCAAAAAAAAGGGTTCCCAGGATGAGATGGATCTTTGAGGATGTTTTGAACTTTCTTAAGGCAGCGGGAGCTATAAGGCTCTTCCAAAGAGGGGAGAGGGCAACCCAGGATCCTCTGAGGGGCAGTGACATTAACCCTCAGGAGTGACATCCTATCTGCCCCTGTGCAATTGTCAAACCACACACAGGTTTAGTAAGTTAAGATACTCTCTGGTGCAGCGGTAGAAAGTCCCCAGCAGTTTTTCATTCAGTTGTTTCCTGAGAAGCCTCAGGTAGTACAATCTCTGCTGGGCCCTTTTGACCAGGGCTGCAATGGGAGCCTCCCAGGTCAGGTCCTCTTTTAGGGTAACCCCCAGAAGCTTAAACCTGGCCACTTGCTCCCCTCGGTCTCCATGGATAAGCAAGGGCTGGAGGTCTGATCTGTCCCTTCTATAGTCCACTAACAGCTCCTTGGTCTTGTTGGTGTTGAGGACCAAGTTATTGTCTCCACACCACGAAAGCAACCATTGTTGGTCTAGCCCCCACCCCCACCCTCCCGCTGTTCTAGATGAGTCAGAGCAGTGTGAAAAGTGTCCTCTGTAGATCTATTTTTTCTGTATGCAAACTGGTGTTTGTCAAATGTATGCGGAAGACCAGAAATGATGTGCCGGCAGACCAAGTGATTCTGAAAGAAACATTTATATCTCCTATCCAGTCTGTCCTTCTGGGACACAATTTGTCTTCATTAAGTTTTGTAAGATGGACCCAGTGCCTCCTCCTGCAGGGACTCCGCAGGCTAACTTTTGCACAGGGCAGCAGCCATCGGTGGTTTCTTATAGGGACAACGACATCAGGCAGCGCTGGGTTTGGGTCTGTTTGGGTGAATTCAGACAATAAAATAAGGAAAGAGAGCGAGAAGCCTCTGGGCTTCCTTAAGGCTTTGGGCCGCTCTTGGGCGCCTGGCTCCAGGCAAGGCAGGGCTGGACGTAGGTGCAGCGCACAGGCAGCCCTCAATAGGCAGCCATTGGTGGCCGTGCAGAATTACAACGGCACTGAAAAAAGTGACTTACGGCCATTGTTCACCCTTACAACCATTGCAGCGTCCCCACGTGATCCAAATTCAGGTGCTTGGCCACTGGCCCGTTCTTACGACGGTCACAGTGTCCCCTTTTGTGACCTCCTGACAAGCAGAACCAGTGGGGGAAGGCCAGATTCGCCTAGCAGCCCTGCTACTAACTGTACAGCTGCAGTGATTCACTGAACAGCCGTGGCAAGAGAGGTCGTAAAATGGGACAGATTCACTTAATCCCCTCGCTTGGCAACGGAATGCTGGGCTCAGTTGTAAGTCGAGGACTGCCTGGGATTGCGGTCAGAAAGCGGCTTTTTCAGCCTGGCCCTTCTTGTTCCAGGAGTGAGTCTGCAGCTGGACACGGATCCAAAGAAGTGAAAGGCAAGACACACACTTACTATCAGGTCCTGATCGATGCTCGCGATTGTCCACACATAGTAAGTGCTCTTGCCTGCCTGCCTTCCCTCCCTCCCTCCCTCCTTCCTTCCTTCCCTCCCTCCCCCTCTCCCCTCCCATGCATCATATTACTAAAATCAAAGTTACTCCAACTAACAAATGCTTGGGGGCAAGGATGGGTTTCCATCACATTTTACAATCGCCTTAAGATCAGTCAATTAAATTCACATTTTGGGAGGACATTTCATACATCTGGATCACAGGCAAGGTGGCCTCCTAGGTCAGAGGTCTCCAGCCTTGGCCACTCTAAAATAGGTGGACTTCAGCTCCCAGAATTCTCCAGTCAGCACCGCCGAAGTCCACAAACCTTAAAGTTGACTGAGGAATTCTGGGAGCTGGAAGTCCACAAGCCTGGAGGTTGCCGAGGTTGGAGACCCCTGTTGTAGACTCCGGAGAGGCAGGCTGTTGGCCACGGGGAGTCTTTGGAAAGGAAATGGACATGGAGACGCTCATTTTGCAACTAGGAGTAGAGAAGGACTTTGTAGAGGCTGAAATTAGAGAAAAGCGGGAACTCTGAAGATACCGACTGAGGCTTTCCAGAGCTCAGCAGTGGAAACGGACAGACGGCGAATCAAGGAGAGGACATTCTGCAAGCGGCTGCCACCCCACCCCACCCCCCAAGCCGTGGGCCTTAAGGAAACCTCCGCTCAACTCCCCCCATCCCCCATGTGAGAGGCCACCGCTGCTAATCCCATGGCAGGTCCCATCCCCGTCTCGGGGAAGGGGGGGCATTGGGAGGCCTCTTAGCCCTGCACTCAAGACCGCCAGCAACAGGGGAAGGCAGGCAGGCCAGCGTTGGAAAGCGCAGCGGGAGGGCCCCGGGGGTGCAGTCTATCCAGTCCGTCCCCTGCAGGCCTCCTCCGATCGGAGCCGCCCTGGCTCTGCCTGCCTTGGGCCGCGGCTTCCCATCCCGCCCTCCTTGTTTCTTCCCCAGTCTCAGAGATCCCAAACGGAAGCCGTGACGTTCTTGGCCAACCACGACGACAGCCGAGCCCTCTATGCAATCCCAGGTGAGCCAGAGGTGGGGTGGGAAAGTGGGGGGTGAAGAGCCCTTGGCCACCCTGGAGAGGGAGACCCGGTCCCAGAGGGCAGGCCGTGAAAGGGCCCACCAAGTCCAGGGAGGCGGCTGCTGACCGAAAGGGAGGAGAATCTTCGCAGCTCCGGGTTGAGATGAGGGCTCCCGGGGGCCTCGGAGCTGGGTGGCTTTCTTGCCGACGTTTCAGGACCCAACTAGGGAACATCTTCAATGCTAGTGGTGCTAGGACTAGTGATGTTACATCCCCACTGACCCTGATGATGCTCCCTAGTTGGGTCATGAAACGTCGGCAAGAAAACCTCCGAGCTCAGAGAACCCCAAGGGCCGTGCAGTCGTCACCCTCCTCCTCTCCTCCTCCATTCCCCACACCTCACACACTGCTCGCACTGAGGATGTTACCAAGTCTGGTAATGAAAGGGTGGCAAGAAACCTCCCAAGCTCAGAGGGCGCCAAGGGCCCCTCACGAAGGATAAGGAGTAACAGCCCCTGGACGGGGGTGAGCTGACCCAGGAAGAAGAGGCTGGCTCTGTCCAGGCAGAAGCTGGGCGGCCCTTTGGCTGCAGAGCTTCAACTGGGCTGCCTGTCCGGAGCGGCCGTGTGGTCCCCTTTTCTCTCGGCCTTTCTGAGCCCATTCCGCCCTCCCTCCCTTGGCCGGCTGGGGGAGGCAGGAGTTTGCTGGCCCCAAGTAGCCTGAAAATGTTTTCAGCCTGGTCAGTCGAGAGGGCTGCCCTGCTGCTCCTCAACTGGAAAAAGGGGTGAGGGGCTGCGTTGTTTGCTGGGGCTGCTGCCGCCCCCCCCCGGTGGTTAGCACAGATGCTGACCAAGCACCAGCGCCGTGTGAGTGGGGGTCCTTGGTCAGATTCCCTGGTTGCTGCGTGCAGAGATGGAGAAAGTTGGAAGGCGTTGGGTCAGCGATGGGAGGGGCGTGGGGAGTGCACAGAGCTGCTGACCCCACACCTGGGCAGGCACCCCCCCCCAAAAAAAAAACAATTAGTGAGTAAAACTGTCAGACCTGGAACGGATTCTGTAGCCAGATCCTTTGTACAAAGAGGCGGAGAGGAGCCCCTATTCCACGCCAGGGCCTTGCGGGTGATCCCTTCTCGGGGTGTGTGTGCCCTCGGTTGTGCTCTCTGTGAGGCACCCCCCCCCCCCGGCTGCTGGCCTCCGGTCCCTGGGAGAGGAACCGGCCTCAGCCCCCCCCCCTCCTCTGGCCTCCTCCTCCTCCTTAGGACTGGACTACGTGAGCCACGAGGACATCCTGCCCTACACGTCCACGGATCAGGTGCCCATCCAGCACGAGCTCTTTGAACGGTTCCTCCTGTACGACCAGACAAAAGGTACTTGCCCCCCCCGCCCCCACTCCGGGCGCAGGGCTGGCCTTGGGGGGGAGGTGCGGGCGGCTGGGGTGGGTGTCCTGGATCCTGATTGAGCCCCCAAACTCCCACCGCTCAGCCAGGCAGTGCCTGAGTGCGTTGCTAAGCGGAGGGAGCCGTCTTCAAGCCACCGGCCTTCCCCTCTTGGCTTTGACCCCCGGGAGGCGGCAGCCGTCAGGCGTGCAGGCCGAGCGCCTGGAGTTTGATCCGGTCACCATGTGGGGGGGGGGGATGCTGCAGCGGCCACAAGTGTGGGAAACGGTCGTAAGTCCCTTTTTTTTCAGGGCTGTTGTAACCCTGAAGGGCCACTAAGTGAGAGGCGGTGATTCAGGGTCTCCCCTGAGGCCTTTTCAGGCCCTGGCTGGCCAGATGAAGGGCTCAGCGTTCCTCAGGAGCCAAGCCTCGGGGGGCTTCCCCTGAGTCCATCCTGAAGGCAGTTTTGCTTGCAGGTGGTCCTTGGCTTACAACGGACCCCACAAAACGCCCTTGGGGCCTGGCTCCAGAGCCCCGATCGCCAGGGGGCCCCCTTGACCCTCAGTGGCTTTGGGGGCTCATTGCCTGCATTCGGGCGACTCGGGTTCGCGGCCTCTTTTTCTGGGAGGTGGGATTTCTACGTCCCGTTTCTGCCCAAAGGCCCCCCACCGAGGACCGCGGGCCTGCTGACTGACCGTTGCCCGGGCTGGGGTGGGCTCCCCTCTGCTGACCGCCTCCTCTTCTCTGCAGCTCCCCCATTCGTGGCGAGGGACACGCTCTGCGCCTGGCAGGAGAAGAACCACCCGTGGCTGGAGCTCTCCGACGTGCACCGGGAGACCACCGAGAACATCCGGGTCACCGTCATCCCCTTCTACATGGGCATGCGGGTAGGCGGGCCGCTCCCTTGCCCGGCATGTCCCCGCAGTGCGGGGAGCGGGAAGGATGGGGCCCAGCGACGACGGAGGGCGCGGAGGGGGCAGAGCACAGCGGCCCAGGCAGTCCTCCCCTTACGGCCGTTTGGAGATGCAGCGGCACTGAGGAAAGGGGCCCAGGATCGTTTTTCACACGACTCTGGCCGCCTCCCCACAGTCACAGGCCGTAAGTCAAGGACTGGCTGTAAACAGAGAAAAGACTGGAAGGTAAAGAAGGAACAGAATGTAGGTTCACGATAGAGAAAGAAGTAAACACGCCAGAGCATCCAAGTCTTAGCAGAGCCCCGGCAGTGGTGGTATTCAAAAACTGGTTCGGTGGGCGTGGCCATGTGACGGTGGGCGTTTCCTTTTTTTGCAGCCCCCCCACCCATTTTGGGGAGCTTCTTAGCCCCAGAGGAGCCTCGGGGGGGGGGCGTTTTTGCTCCCCTATGGCTCCTCCCTCCGTTTCTGGCCTTCCTGGGCCTCCGCAAGGGGAATCGCGGCACAGCCGATCTCATCTACAGCTGATTGTCCGGAGCGGGGGGGGGGGGAAGACACACCTTAGGCGAAGGTCGGACAGGTGGGCGGGCGGAGTGAGTGAGCATTGGGCAGGAGGGGGGCCGGGGGGGGCGTGGCCAGCTGGAACTTACTACTGGTTCAGCGACCCACGCCCAATTCTTGCTACCGGTTCGCCCGTTGCAAACCCGCTGAACACCACCCCTGATCCACAGGCGGCTGCTCTCTCTGGACCCCTCCCCCGGGGCCCCAGGCAGGAGGACTGTCCGGCCAGCCAAGCCCCCCAGGCAAGGAGGGCAGGCCGGTTTTCTCCCTCCGGCATCTGGAAGAGAGCTGAGCCCCTTGGCCCCCCCCCCCCTTTCCCCCCCCCCCCCCTGCCCCAAAGGAAGAAACATTATGGGAAATTTTACAGCAGCCAGGGGTCACATTTGACTCAGAGGCAGAAAAGGCTGCCCACAGTCACAATAGGCAAGGTGGACAGTTATATAAATGGATAAAGCAGAAATAATTACTAAAGTATGGCGCGGACTTTCACGTGGACTTTCAATGTGTATTAACACTTTACCTACATCATTAAAAAGGCAATTGGGTAGGAATGTTAGAGCGATCTATAGTCAAGTAACCATGTCTAGACCATCTAACCACTGAGGCATGAAAAAAGTCACTGGTCTGGTGGATGCCCTCGGCTCACAGCCAGTCAAGGTGTGGTCTAGTTTGACGTGGGATCCCACAGTGCCACTGGGGTGTGAGTGTGCGTGCGCGTGCTATGCCCCGTTTATTAGGAATCCCAGCAGACGCCATGGGAGGTGCGAATCCTATTCAGGATGGGTCGGTAGGAGGAGGATAGGCAGGCAGGCATGGACTGACCATTGCAGGGGGCACCACTGCCCCCCGGGTGAGATTGGGGCGTGGGGTGGAGTGGGGGCTGAGCTGGCGCATTCAGCCATGGGAAACAGCCTCTCCCTCCTCTCCACAGGAAGCGCAGAATTCTCACGTCTACTGGGTGAGTCTCCCTATTCTTTCGGCTGCCTTGGGGGATTGGTGGGGGCGAGGGGGCTGGAGAAGCTTTGCTCTGCCCCTCAGAAGGCTGAGGGGACCCCCCCGGCCTCTCTGACGTGGGGCCCCCTCTCTCTGCCTCCCGTCCAGTGGCGCTACTGCATCCGCCTGGAAAACCTCAACAACGAAGTTGTGCAGCTCCGAGAACGGCACTGGAGGATATTCAGCCTGTCTGGCACCCTGGAGACCGTCCGTGGCCGGGGAGTGGTGGGCCGGGTGAGTAAGGCGGGGGGAGAGGTTAAAAGGTGCCCTTTGTGGAGACACCCCCCCCCTCGCCCCCCTTCTAAAGGCCGGGAGCAGAGAAATCGGCATGGCCGATGTCAGCTCAGCCTCCTTGGGGCCGGGGAAGAAGCCCCCATGCGCTCTTGGCCACAGCCAGACACCCCGCCCCCCTTTTTAAAAAAAATATTTTTTTTATTTTATTTAAAATACATACATTCAATTCACCTTTCATTCAACGATGTGTCATCTGGTTACAAATGTCTTGTGCCATAACAATTAAATTTTACAACTATATTCATTATTTTAATATTAATTCTCTATTCTGATATTAGTATACAGATTGTTTCTATTATTATAACATTTCTCTTTATGTGTTCAGTTCTATTAACATATTTTCTGTATTCCAATGGTCTACTAATTATTTCTAACTTTCATATTTTTCTTTAGCCATTGATAAAATAATTCCCATATCTGATAATATTCAGTTTGTTCTTTCTCTTTAATTGCAAGTGTTAATCTGTTCGTTTTTGCACAGTCTGGTGTTTTCCTTATTACACCCTCTTCTGTCAGAATCTTTTTATTTCTCCAATTTTGTACAAATACAATTCTAGCTGCAGTTACTACATGGATAATTACAGGTGAAACTCCAATAATTAGAATATCGTGCAAAAGTTCATTTATTTCAGTAATGCAACTTAAAAGGTGACCCTAATATATGAGATAACTCATTACATGAAAAGCAAGATAGTTCAAGCCATGATGTGTCATACTTGAGATTATTATGGCTTACAGCTCATGAAAACCCCAAATCCACAATCTCAGAAAATTAGAATATTATGAAAAGGTTCCATATTCTAGGCTCAAAGTGTCCCACTCTAATCAGCTAATAAGCCACAACACCTGCAAAGGGTTCCTGAGCCTTTAAATGGTCTCTCAGTCTGGTTCAGTAGGAATCACAATCATGGGAAAGACCGCTGACCTGACAGTTGTGCAGAAAACCATCATTGACACCCTCCATAAGGAGGGAAAGCCTCAAAAGGTGATTGCAAAAGAAGTTGGATGCTCCCAAAGTGCTGTCTCAAAGCACATTAATGGAAAGTTATGTGGAAGGGAAAAGTGTGGAAGAAAAAGGTGCACAAGCAGCAGGAATGATCGCAGCCTGGAGAGGATGGTCAGGAAGAGGCCATTCAAAAGTGTTGGGGACTTTCACAAGGAGTGGACTGAGGCTGGAGTCAGTGCATCAAGAGCCACCACACACAGACGGATCCGGGACATGGGCTTCCAATGTCGTATTCCTCTTGTCAAGCCGCTCCTGAACAACAAACAACGTCAGAAGCGTCTTACCTGGGCTAAAGAAAAACAGACCTGGTCTGTCGCTCAGAGGTCCAAAGTCCTCTTTTCTGATGAGAGCAACTTTTGCATCTCATTTGGCAACCAAGGACCCAGAGTCTGGAGGAAGAATGGAGAGGCACACGCTTCAAGATGCTTGAAGTCCAGTGTGAAGTTTCCACAGTCTGTGTTGATTTGGGGAGCCATGTCATCTGCTGGTGTTGGTCTACTGTGCTTCATTAAGTCCAGGGTCAACACAGCCGTCTACCAGGAGATTTTGGAGCACTTCATGCTTCCTTTCGCAGACGAGCTTTATGGGGATGCTGACTTCATTTTCCAGCAGGATTTGGCACCTGCCCACACTGCCAACAGCACCAAAACCTGGTTCAATGACCGTGGGATTATTGTGCTTGATTGGCCAGCAAACGCACCTGACCTGAACCCCATGGAGGATCTATGGGACATTGCCAAGAGGAAGATGAGAGACATGAGACCGAACAATGCAGAAGAGCTGAAGGCCGCTATTGAAGCAGCCTGGTCTCCCATAACACCTCAGCAGTGCCACAGGCTGATAGCTTCCATGCCACGCCGCATTGAGGCAGTAATTGCTGCAAAAGGGGCCCCAACCAAGTACTGAGTACATATGCATGCCTATACTTTTCAGAGGTCCAATATTGTTCTATGTACAATTTTATTGATTGTATGTAATATTCTAATTTCCTGAGATTGTGGATTTGGGGTTTTCATGAGCTGTAAGCCATAATCATCTCAATTATGACAAATCACGGCTTGAACTATCTTGCTTTGCATGTAATGAGTCTATCTCATATATTAGTTTCACCTTTTAAGTTGCATTACTGAAATAAATGAACTTTTGCACGATATTCTAATTTTTCGAGTTTCACTTGTAACTCTTATCTTTGCTTTAAGCTGCTTGTATGATCCCTAACAAAAATATTTCAGGTCTTAAATGTATGTGGTGTTGTATCATCTTTTCCGACCACGTATGTATTTTTGTCCAATATCTTTTTGCTTCTACACATAACCACCACATATGATAATATGTTCCTGGTGCCTGGTGCCATTTCCAGCATTTTGCTCATTTATCTTTAAGCATCCTTGCCGGTGCAAAATGCCATCTCTAAAACATCTGATACATGTTTTCTTTGTATGCAGTTGACATTGTTAATGTGTAATTCCACTCTCACAACTTTTGCCATTTATGTCCTTCTACAGTGTAACCAAAATTTTTTTTCCCCGTGCAATCACTGTCTCTTTCGTTTGTTCTTCTTCCATTTTAATACCCAATAAGTAACTATAAAGCTTTTTGCATCCATTTTTGGGCCACGGCCAGGCCCTGACGGCTTTTTCTCCCCGCAGGAGCCAGTCCTGTCCAAAGAGCAGCCGGCCTTCCAGTACAGCAGCCACGTCTCCTTGCAGGCATCCAGCGGGCACATGTGGTGAGCCTGGGGGAGCAGCTAGGGAGGGGGCCTCCTGGGCGGGGGAGCGGGGGGACCCTGACCGGGACCTGGTGCTTGGGCTGCCTCGGGAGAGGGAAAGGCGGAGGGGAGGGAGTCTCGGGAAGCGGCTGGGGGGGGCAGGCTGGGGTTCTCTTGCACCCCTCCACTGGCTGGGAAGGGAGCATTTGGCTATGCGGGGGGGGGCCCTTCCAGGAACGTGGCCCCCGAGGAGGGCTGGCCGTCGCCTCTCCTGCCACTTGTTCCCGGTATGAAGCGTTGCGCCCTTCTCTCTGTGGCTGAGAACAGGGGGGTCTCGACTTAACAACCATTCGTTTAGTGACCGAAGTTACAGCAGCACTGAAAAAAGTGACTTGTGACCGTTTTTCACACTTACGGCGGTTGCAGCACCCTCATGGTCATCCCGTGACCAGAATTCGGTCGCTTGGCAACTGATTGATGACGGTTGCCGTGTCCGGGGGGGGGGGGGGGGCTCTCTTGTGACCTTCTGGCAAGTGATGGAGGAGCCAGGATCACCTTGTGCCCATGGCAAGAACGGTCGTTAAATGGGGCAAAACCCACTCAACCGCTGTCTCCCTTAGCAGCCGAGGCGTTGGGCCCAGTTGGGGTCGTATGTGCGTCCCTCTGGTAGAGGCCTCACCTGGGCTCCTTCCCTCCCTCCCTCCCTCCCAGGGGCACCTTCCGCTTTGAGAGACCCGACGGCTCCCACTTCGATGTCCGGATCCCTCCCTTCTCCCTGGAGAGCAATAAGGATGAGAAGACGCCCCCTTCTGGCCTCCACTGGTAGAGCGGCCTTAGGAAGCCAGCCCCCCCCCTTCCTCTCTTTGGCCCCCTCTGGACAGTTTTCTCCTCCCAGGACCCCTCAAGGGCTGAGCCTTGTCCCAGGCTCCGAAAAGGGTCCCTCCCGCCCCCGTCTCCACCCTGGACAGTGGCCGAAAGGGGCCCCTTTGGACCTCGAGGGGGGAGCCTGGGCTTTGGCTGCCTCTGCCTTCCCAGCTTGGGGGCCCCTGGAGCCAAGCTGCCCCCGACGGAAGCCGGCAAGCTCTCCAAAGGCCTGTGGACTCTTCCAGACGTGAGGTGGGGGCGTGTTTCTCCGTTAAATAAACCAGCCTCCCTGTTACGGCTCCATCGTCCTTGTCCCCTCTCTGTCCATCGGTGCCCCCTCCCGGGGGGGGGAGCAGGGGCAGCAGGCGCTTACGCCCAGGTCCTTCTGGCGCTTGAGTGGCATTGTGCCCCACTCGACCGACCCTCTGCCTCTTGGCCAGGCCAGTTGGCACCCGGCTCCTTAGACCCCCCTCCCCGGCTTTCCTGCTTTCAGTCTCGCCCCCCTCCTCTTAAGGTGTTGTGAATGGTGGCCAGGGGACTCTGGGGGGGGGGGGCAGCTGCTGCCACCCCGGGTGAAGTAAAGCGCCGCTGACCCCACAAGCAGGAAGCTGACCTTTCTGACGCAGCCGGGAGGCCAGAGATTCCCTCCAGCCACACAGGGGGCACACGGCTGGGAAGCCCGTTCCTCGGCCACCCCCAGCTTCTGGGAGTCCTCACCCAGCGTGCCACGGAGAGGACCTCGGCGCTTGTAATAAAAGGCGGACTTCTGAATCATTTGGCTTCCTTCGTCTTTTGGAAAGAGGCGGTGTGCGTTGGGTATCGCAGAGAGCAGGACGTGCGCAGGTAGAAATGATGCCCGAGGCGTTGGGCCCTGGCTGCTCTCTGGGCTGGGCGGTTCCCTCACAAACGTTTTGTGACTGACATCATCAGGGCCAGGTTTGTGGAGAGGAGGAGGAGGAGGAGGAGGATGGTGGGGTCCTTGGTGCTTTCTTGAGCGGGATGGTTTTCTTGCAGACTTTTCATTGCCTAACTAGGTAACGTCATCAGCGTTCAGAGAGGAATGAATTTGTGGCTTTAATTTAACAGGAAAAAACAATCGTAAGGAACCGCCCAGCCAACACTGGCAGGTACCACACTGGGAACCCTTAACGGTTCGCAAGGAAACCGCCGAGCTCGGAGAGCACCAAGGATGGTTAAACTTGGAGCTTCCTTCCCTTCTATCGATACCTGGAGCAGGCAAACTCTTGGTATCCCCAGAGGCTCAGTGAGGCTTTTGGTGCCGTGGCTAGAGTGCAGTACTGCAGCTACGGGTGAGTGCCCGCAATTTGGCAGTTCGAGGCTCACCAAGCTCCAGGTCGACTCGGCCTTCCATCCTCTGGAGGTGGGGAGAGTGTTAGAGAGGCCGGCAGCTGTGAAGCGGTATAGAAATGTTAAGTGCCGCCGCTGTTTTCCCCACCAGCAGCCCCTCCTCTAAGTTGCAGCCGTTCTCGGCCCTTGCACCAGCACAGAACAGCAGCCTGGGGGCCACTTTCCCTCAAGAGGAGCGCAAGGCGGCAAGCGGGGCGCTTTCATTTCCTGATTGTGTTTATTTAATTGATACACCGCCCATCTTCTCGCCATCCGGAACCACTCCGTGGCTTCGCCCCAATAACCATCCCGTGGGGAAGTGGGGCTTGAGAGGGCCAGACTTGCAGGGAGCCCTCGACGTGCAACAAGACACGAAGCGACTGAAAAGAGGGACTTATGACCGTTTCCCCCACTTACGACCATGGCCACGTGATCAAAATTCCGATGCTTGGCAAGTGACTCATATTTAGGATGGTTGCTGTGCCTGTGTATCACAGGATCCCCTTTTGCGACCTCCTGACCAGAAAAGTCCATGGGGGAAGCCAGATTTCCCTTCGCAACCATGCAGTGATTCACTTAACGACTGCAGCAAGAAAAGTCGCAAAATGAGGCTCCAACCTGAGCCAGTTTACAACTTGTGGACTTCAACTCCCAGAATTCCTCAGCTGAGTTGAGCTGGCTGAGGAATTCTGGGAGTTGAAGTCCACAAGTAGTGAAGTCGGCCGGGTTGGAGAGCCCCGCATAACAGAATCGCAGGTACATCACATCAGAGATCAAGGCTCGGCCCGGAGCTGCTGTTGCTGCTGCCCTCGCTCGCTTGGCCGCCCCCTCCGCTTCGCCGCTCCGCTTCCCACGGCCACGGTCCGCGGGTGGGGCGGGCTCGCGCCAAGCCCCGCCGCTCTGGCTGACGCATGCGCGCTGAGGCACTCGGGGGCCGGTTTGTCCGCGCTCGGCTACCGTCCACCGTTTGTTTCCTTGGCGTCGGCGAGCCAAGATGGCGTCGGCGGGTCTGGAGAGGGTCCGCGTTTCGGCGGCGGAGCTCCGGCGGGGGATCTTGGCCACGGCGGAAGCGGAGGCGGCGGCGACGCACGGGAGGGGCGGCCCAGGTGAGGGCGCGGCGGGCGGGCGGATGGTTGGTTAATTGGTTGGCGGCTCAGAGCAGTGTGTAACGGGGGGGGTGGGGGGGCGTGGCGCGCTGGTGCCCCCTCCCTCCTCCCGGAACACCTGCGCGCGCCCCGCGCCTGCGCGCTCCTTCCCTCCTCTCGGTCTGGGCCGGACAACAGTTCCCACAATGCCTTGCCGGTCCGTTAAGGGGACCCGGGGACTTCCGCCATGGGGGGGGCTCCCGGAAGTCCTCGTTTTGCCCCAACCCCTTGCGAAGAAGTCAGGTAGACTGGCGGCGACTGCCCCCCCCCCTCCGCCCCCTCTGGGGTCTCCTTTCTATCTGTCTAAACCTGGTTTCCCTCTCAGGTCCTGGGCTGGGGGGGGGGGTCCACCCTTGGCCGCTTTAAGACCCGGGGACTTCAACTCCCAGAATTCCCCATTGAAGTGGCCATGGGTGGAAAGGAACCCCCTTCCCTGCTCTGGCTCTGGTCTCTTGGCACGTTTGCTGTTTCTTTCTCCTTGCAATTGGTGGAGCTGGACGGTCTTGAAGTTGACATAATAAATAGTAACACGAGCATCGAAGTATTTGGGGTGGAGGGAGGGGCTGGCCCTCTGACGAAGGGGAGCCCCCCCCCCTTCCACCTCCAGTCCCTCCTGGTTGGTGCTGATCTCAGGAATCTTTCCTGGCCTTTTGCTGAAGCTGCTTCCCGGAACGATTGTTTTGAGCTGCCTCTTTAGGAGACAGAGAGAGAGAGAGAGTAGAGAAAGCGTGACAATCCTCAAATAGTTGAGAAGTTGTGTGTTGTCACACATGTCCAGGTACAGAATCTCCTTTTGGTACCTTCAGCACCTCATATCCTAATAATCAGTGTTGCCTTTCTGGGTACCTGTGCTCCTTTAGAATAGAATGGAATAAAAGAGTTGGAAGGGACCTTGGAGGTCTTCTAGTCCAACCCTCTGCTTAAGCAGGAATCCCTATATACCACTTCAGACAAATGGTGATCCAATCTCTTCTTAAAAACTTCCAGTGTTGGAGCATTCGCAACTTTGGGAGGCAAGTGGTTCCACTGGTTAATTGTTCTGTCAGGAAATTCCTCCTTAGTTCTAAGTTGCTTATTTCATTGATTAGTTTCCACCCGTTGCTTCTTGTCCTGCCCTCAGGTGCTTTGGAGAATAGATTGGCCCCCTCTTCTTTGGGGCAGCCCCTGAGATATTGGAAGACTGCTATCATTTCCCCCCCAATCCTTCTTTTCATCAGAGTAGACATACCCAGTTCCAGCAACTGTTCTTTATATGTTTTTGCCTCCAGTCCCCTAATCATCTTGGTTGCTCTTCTCTGCACTCTTTCCAGCGTCTCCATGTCTCAATTTCTTTTGAGTTTCTTGTTGCATGCCAAGAATCAAGCCCTGTGTTGAGGTGGGATCTGAACCAAGGATACATCGAATGGAACACCTGGTTCTTTTGCTCCCAAAGGTGCTTTTGCAAGAGGCAACTGGACTTTCTGGTTTATTAAAATTGCCTCTTGAAAAAGCACCTTTGGGACAACCATGGCCTGGATGACTCTCCATAGACAGTTGGTTCTTATAGTTTGACTACCACACTTTGATGTACCTGGGATTGTGTCTTTATTGTTCCTGAAATTCTGTTTTAAGGTAACTGGAATTGTGTATTTGATGTACCTGGAATTGACATTTTGGTGTACCTGGAATTGACTCTCGATATACTTAGAATTCTATTTGCCGTTTCAGAAGCCAAGGAATACTCTTGACTCACACTCAGTTTATCAACTACAGTTTCGGCATCATTTTCACATCTAATACGTCCCCACCAGGTCACATCTCATCTCTGCATTCAGAACACTCAATCTGAATGTTACATCTTATTTTGTTCGTTTTTTTCCCCAGTTATCTTGATTTTTCTAATCCTCTTGAATATTATTTAACCCAGTTTTGCATAATTTCTAACTGTGATCAGCAAACCTCTTACCTTTTCGTCTCAGTCGCTCGTTAATGTATAAGACCCAAAGCTGAATCTCGAGGCAACCCGCTTGCTCCTCCGTCCCATTTTGGTCAAGAACCACAGGAAGACCTCTTGGAATAGGCATGGGTTGGGTGAAGGGGTTTGTAAAACTACCCCCCCCTCACAATTTGTGGCGGTGGAAATACACCCGATGGAAGTTAAAAATTAAGCGAGTCCAAAGAGCCCATGTAACCAAAGAGGGTCACCCCAGAGAGCAAACCTGCTCAGAACCACCATGGGCTCATCCACGGTCTTGGCCCATGGCCCAGGAGGGGAAGAGCTAGATGGTGACCACTAGTCCTCCACTTAATGACCACAATTGAGCCCAAAATTTCTGTTAAGGAAGTTTTGACCCATTTTAGGACCTTTCTTGGCCCGGTCATTAAGTCGCTCTGTCAGCCCAACCCAGGGCTCTTGTGGCCGAAGGAGGAAGCTGCCTTGGATATCAGTGGGGTTGAAAAGTGGGGTCCTTGGTGCTCCTCTGAGCTTGGAGGTTTCCTTCTAGGCGTTTCGTGTGTCAAATATGTTCGCCGCCTTCAATTATTTTTAAATCTAATGTAGGATACCAATAAAATATAAATTAAATTTATACATCACCTGAATCACTGGGAGTTGGGCTGCATGTGCGCTTAAATTATTATTAGGTTGAAGTTTTGATGCTCTGGGTCCTGACTTGGTTCCTTTGGAAAGAAAACCCCTTCTAGTCCGTTGGGTCTCTTGGACTCAGTCCAGGCAGTAACAAGAACCTGAACGCTTGCATTGAGAGCTTGCACCCCCCACCCCTTTCCCGGGCCTCTCCCCCTTGGGCCAGCCCATCGGGGTCCAATAGCATTGGGGTTGGGGCTTTTGGCAGCAGCTTTGAGGTTTAGGTATCTCTTTGGTGGGGTTTCACCCCATCCGTTCTCATGCTCCGTCCCTGATCAGCAGGGTTATTCCAGATTAACACCTCTGGTTCCTGTCTCACACACACGCACGCACGTACACAGCCCTTTTCCTCCCCATGCCCACTGCCCACTTCCCCAATCTCACCCCCTCCCCTGCACTTTTGGGCAGGATGCCAGGGAAGCAAGCAGACTGAAGATGGCAGGCCTGACCAGGCATGGACTCCGGCTGGGTTTCGATCCGGAGCTTCTGCTCTTGTGGAAGACTAGAGCCTTTCTGTCTTCCTGGACGCTGAGCTGGCCGCCTCCTCCTCCTCCTCCTCCTCCTTGTTGACCTTCTTTTAACCCCTGGAATCTATTTTGGTTAAGCTCAGTCTTTGTGGTCCCTTTGCTCTCTCAGCTTTTCCTGTGGGGCCCTTCTGGTAATCCCCCCCCCAGCCACCTCTATGCAAAACGGGAGGTTTCGCTCTCTGTTTCCTGCTGGTTCCGCTCCATTACATCTTGTGCGCCGGGCCTCCCTCTCGCCCCTTCGGGTGACGCTCCCCCCCCCCCCGGCTGTCTAGACACAGCTCACCTCTCTAGAAATCTCTAGAAATGGCTCCTGGTCAGGGGCCGAGGGTGCTCCGGGTGTGGCCAGCGCTTTGATCCGCCCAGGGGGCGACAGGGAGGGATCTACCCTGCCCGTGTTTTCTGGTTCATTGACAGCAGGGCTGCCCCACGTTGGCAACTGTGAGGCTTGTGGACTTCCACTCCCTGGGAGTCGGACTCCCCAAGTCTTGGCTGACTGTTGATTTCTGGGAGTTGAAGTCCACGAGCCTCAGCCGGATCCCAGCTCAGAGGGGTCCCTGGGTCCCTAATAACAATCTATTCGAAATATATTCCCTCGACACCGAAGGTCCTTCAAATAGGATTCTTTATTGGCCAAGTGTGATTGGACACACAAGGGATTTGTCTTTGGTGCGTATGTACGTTTAAAAAAAATGAAATTCCTCAAGAATCATAAGCTACAACACTTTGTGATGGTCATAGGGGACTAGATAAGCAATCAAATCATACTGGGAAGCGGGGATATTTCTAGCACGAGGATGTTTCCTAGATACCTCCCTCATTATCTAGGATATTTCCTAGAGAGCTAAGCCAGGGGCCTCTCCTCTTCTGCCCATGGTTTAAAATTAATAATAGCCATAATTAGCATTGCGGGGGGGGGGGGGGGAACCCCCCTCCCGGTTTAACGGACCCGGTCGGCCGCGGGGGGGGGGGGGCTGGGTGGTCTTCCCAAGGCAATGGAGACCCTGAAGCTGCCGGGCAGAAGGGCTGGGTGGAGAACGAGGAGCTGCTCTCAATGGAGAAAAACAGCCTTCCCCTCCTGTCCATCGCAGGCACTCTAGCCGCAGCCCGGGGGTGGAGGAGGCATCGCAGGCCGCTGGGGGCTAGAAGGAGGCGGGCAGGGGGAACCTCTTGGGCCAAGGCAGAGAGGCCGGGCAGGGGAGCCCCCACCACGCATGCTGGCCGAGGTTGATGGCAAAGGCCGGGCTAGGAGCCAGAAGGGCCGAGGGAGAAGAGAGCTGACCGAAGGCCTCCTTCTCAGGTGAAGCCCCCCCCCCCATGCAGAACCATCCGGAGCGGAGGAGCCGCCAGCCAGGGCGGGGGGGAGGGGCACGGGGCCGCTGGAAAGGTGGAAGTCCCAGCAAGTCCCGGAGCTGCCCCCGGGGCTCCAGTCTCACCGGCCTTTTGTGGGAGGGTGGAGCCGTGGCCGCCACAGGCCTGGACCCAGGTGGGTGTGGCTGGCAGGCCTCGCTTGGGCCATCGGCTGACCCCGGGAGGGCAGCAGGGTCCCCTGGGCAGGCCTTGAAGAAAGGAGGGGGGAAAAACGACCCCCCCAAAGCTTCTGCCCTCGGAGTGTCCCCTCCCCCATTCCTAAGTCAGAGGGTCAGAAACCCGGGCACCAGGATATGCCCACCTCTCTCTCTCTCTCTCTCTCTCTCTCACACACACACACACACACGCACACACACACACAAACCCCACCGGCTCCCAGGAAGCCAGGCTGTTCCGTGGGCCTTCTGGGTCGTCACGGGAGCCGCTGCCAGTGTTCCGATGCCAGCCCACCAGGGCCTCCCCAGGGGCA